CGGGTAGAAAAAAAGAATTTGACATACAGACAAATGAGGCATAACAGAACTCCAACTATCCATGACCAAAAAAAAAAAAAAAAATCTACAGCCAGGTATATCAAAGTCAAGATTCCAGAAACTCAACACAAGAATAAAATCTTAAAAACTGTTAGGGAAAAGAAATAAATCACCTAAAGAGGAAAACCCATCAGAATCACAGCTGATTTCTCAGCACAAACCCTCAAATGAAGCAGAGCTTGGAGTGAAACATTTCAAGATCTAAAGGAAAACAACCTTCAACCCAGACTGAAGTGCCCTGCAAAACTGATGGAGAAATACGATGTTTCCATGACAAAGAACAGCTGAGGAAATTTATGACCACCAAACCAGACCTCTAAAATGTTTTCAAGGACATTCTAGAATGAGAAAACAAGAAATACAACACCATAAACCCCAACAGAAGGAATCCACCAGGCAAGGCAAACAAGTAAACAGAAGGAAGGAGAAAAAAAAAAAAGACAGGGAGCCAACAATAGGAAAGTAACAGAACAAGGGTAAGTCAATATATCAGTTGTAACCATCAATGTTAATGACCTCAATTCACCAATCAAAAGACACAGGCTAGCAGAATGGATCAAGAAGCATGATCCAACAATATACTGCATACAAGAAACACATTTAATTCAAAAAGAAATTCATAGACTGAAAGTCAAAATATGGAAAATAATACTCCACGTGCCAGAAACTCAGGAAAAAGCACGGGTAGCTATATTCTATTTGCAGACAAAGTGAATTTCAGGCCAACAAGACTGACTAAGAGAGATAAAGAAGGTCACTACATCCTTTTAAAGGGAACAATTCAAGAGGAAGAGGTAACAATCATAAATATATAGGCAACAAATACCAGTGTTGGTTTGTCATAGATGGCTTTTATTAGATTGAGATAAAGACCTATATATTCCAATTTTATGTATAAAACAAGTATTAACAGGCATGAAAAATCAATTACACACTAATACAATTGTATCAGGGGATTTCAATACCCCCATCACAAAAAGACAGATCAACTAGACAAAAAAAAAAAAA